AGACTGAGGCGGAAGGATCGCCGGAGCCCAGCAAGGCGAGGCTGCAGTGGCCGTGAGCGTGCCACTGCACTCCAGCCTGGGTAACAGTGTAAGACTCCAACTCAAAATTTTAAAAAAGTGAGTGGCTTGTTGATTTCCTCCCTTTGAAGGTGTTTACGATCTTGACTAAGAAAGGTACTTTATGTCCATCAGTTTCTCTCATTCTCATCATAGCTTAATGCAATGGTCTAATTCTTTCTTTTTCACAGCTGAGGAAACTAGACCCAGTAAGAGAAATGGACTGACCCAGAGTCTCATGGAATTTAGTGGGAGGAAGCGGCTACCTCTAAGTTAGGGACTCTTTTTTTTTTTTTGAGTTGGAGTCTCACTCTGTCACCCAGCCTGGAGTGCAGTGGCCGCTCCCGGCCACCGCAGCCTCAACCTGCTGGGGTCCGGAGATCCTTCCGCCTCAGCCTTCCAAGTAGCTGGAACTACAGGTGCACGCTACCATGCCCGGCTAATTTTTGATTTATTGTAGAGATGAGTTCTCGACAAGTTGCCCAGGTGGGTCTCGAACCCGCGGGCTCAGGAAATCCACTCACCTCAGTCTCCCAAAGCACGGGATTACAGGTTGAGTCACAGAGCCCAGTTTATTTATTTATTTTTATTTGTTTGTTTTCTTCAGAGTCTCACTCTGTTGCCCAGGCTGGAGTGCAGTGGCACATTCACAGCCACCACAACCTTAACCTGCTGGGCTCAGGTGATCCTTCTGCCTCAGCCTCCCAAGTAGCTGGGACTACAGGCACGCACCACTATACCCAGCTATTTATTTATTTATTTATTTATTTATTGTAGAAACAAGGTCTTGCCCAGGTTGATCTCGAACCCCTGGATTCAGGCAATCCTCTTGGCTCTACCTCCCAAAGTGCTGGGATTACAGGCGTGACCACCGTACTCAGTTCAGACTTTTATTACCATCAGCAGTAACAAGGCCCCACCATTATAGCATCAGTAAAGGCCACACTGAGGAGAAGGAGCAAGATACTCGTATGCTTCATAGAGAGGATGGTATCAGCAGAGACCTAGTAGAGAGCATCAATGCCCAATCCCACCCAACAGTAATAAGGCCAACTAAGAAACCTGGATTTCTACCCCTATTTGGCAAAAACAAGATGGCACTCTCCCTTCCCCTGTGCAGTATCAAAGGAGGCCTGCTAAAACAAGATTTATATAAGATCAACAATCTCATAACAATACCCAAAATACTTGGTTTCAACAGAAAATCACTTGTCAACTCAACAACAAAGGAGACCTGAATAAGACAATCAAAAGATAATAGCATAGAGATGACACAGATATCAGAATTATCAAACAAAAATTTAATGCAACCATCATAAAAATGCTTCAACAAGCAATTATGAGCATACCTGAAACAGGCAGGAAAAAAAATAGCAATGTCCCAGCAAAGAACTAGAAGATATAGAGAAAAACCATCCAATGGGAATTTTAGAACTGAAAAATACAATAACTAAAATAAAAAAACTCAACACATGAGCCGAGTGCAGTGGCTTACATCTGTAACCCCAGCACTCTGGAAGGCAGTGGTGAGAGGAAATGCCTAAGCTCAGGGGTTCAAGACCAGCCTGGGCAACATAGTGAGACCTCGCCTCTACAATAAACCAAAAAATTAGCTGGGCATGGTGGCACATACCAGTGGTCCCAGCTACTTGGAAGGTTGAGGTGGAAGGATCACCTGAGCTCAGCAGGTGAAGGTTGCAGCATGGGCAGCAGAGTGAGACTCCAAATCAAAAAAAAATTTTTCTGAATAGAAATGAAAAGACAAAAGAAAGAATTTTAGAGCATCAGGAAGGAAGAATAATGAAAATTATATAAAAATATGAGTGGCCGGACTCGGTGGCTCAGCCTGTAATCCCAGCACTTTGGGAGGCTGCGGGTTCAAGACCCGCCTAGGCAACTTGGCAAGACCTCATCTCTACAATAAATCAAAAAATGAGCCGGTTATGGTAGCGCGCGCCTGTCGGTCCAGCTACTTGGAAGGCTGAGGTGGAAGGACCAACGGAGCCCAGCAGGTCGAGGCTGCAGTGGCCGGGAGCATTCCACTGCATTCCATTCTGGGCGACGGAGTGAGACTCCAACTCAGAAAAAAATATATAAGTAAATATAAGAGATTTTTTTCTCCTTGTAGGTTTTGATGTTTGAACCAAACATTATAATACTGTCTTATGTGGGTCTCAATGTATGTAGAAGAAATATTTAAGACAATAATACTGTACATAAGTAAGATAAGGGGACAAAAGGACGGTAAGGTTTCTACATTTCACTTGAACTGGTAAAATGTCAACAGCAAGTTGTAATAAGTTATGGTTATAATACCAGGTAACCACTAAAAAGCTATTACAGATAAATCAAAGAGGAATTCTAAAAAGTTGTTCAAGAAAACCACAAGAAGGCAGGAAATAGAGAAATGAAAAACAGAAGGAACAACAAAAAAACCCCAAAACAAATATTTACCAAAATGTTGATATGAAGAGGAGTTGCTATTGAGGAATTCAGCAGTTAATATAATAACCTCCATGGTTAAGACTGTGACTTAAGGCCGGGCAGTGGCTCAGTCTGTAATCCCAGCACTTTGGGAGGCCGAGGTGAGTGGATTGCCTGAGCCTGCGGATTCAAGACCCGCCCGG